AAATTTTTATTTTCAATATTTTCTCATCTCTTCTCAATTCTCTCTGTTGTTTCTAATAATTTTTGAATTCCAAACATAATCAGTTTTTGAGTAGTTGATTTCTAGGACTCGAATTATCAAAAACATATACATATTCAGTAAATTACAATTAATTAAGTTGATAACATGATTACTTTCTCTGCATTTATTTATTGTTCTCTGAGGGGATCAAGGTGGTAGACCTGTAATTTTCTATTGAATAAAATATAGTAATAGATTAGAAACTAATATTTACAGATATTTTATTTCTGGTCCCTGCTCCATTTTTTTCTAACTTTTTAAAAAAATTATTCCTTATATAATAGACTGAAAGTGGTTTCCCTCCCCCATCCAAAAAAGGTTACTCAAACTCATTTTTTTCAGTCTTGTTAGATATTGAATCTGAAAAATGACACTGCAAGCTGTATGTTTTACAAGATACTCATAACAATATTGTATATTATATGAGCACAAATAACCTTGGCTGTATGTCCTCATCACAGGATTGACCATTTAAGAAATTCTAACAATTGGCTGACAATTAGAGTATTACTGGAATAAATAAGTAGTAAATTTTATCATTTTAAAGTGGTGGAATGATAACATGTTAATATATGCTTAAATACTCCTTAAATCACAGCATCTCTCTGAATTAAAAGTAGAATGTCAACAGGATGAACCTTTAATGGAAACTTCTAAGGGAAAATGTTCAAAACCGGATGGGTGAGAGAAATTAATACTCTGTATAACTCTTTGTCTGCATGTTTCATTCTTCGCTTTATTTTTATTTGCTGATTATTACAAGTATGTATCAGAATTTAACCAGCAGGTTAATAGTTTCACAGCTTTGTTCTACATCAGCAGTAGAAAGCCCCGATCTATTCCCACATATTATCTGCTGATATATCTGAGGGTTTCTTTCTTAATAAATAACAGTACATCATTTTAATATCCATGAGTGCTCCACAGTGAAGTGCTTCCAGATTGACATCTTTATTTTCTTGAATGTTCTGGAGCCCACATGAATCTAGAAGTAGACCAGGAAGTAAAGATGACTGAAATCTTGCTTTTTTACTTCAAAGTGCTCTCAGCTGCTTAGGAAATAAAGCGGTTAGAACAATTACTCTTCCATCTTTGGATTCTGTCCTTTTGTACCTACAATGTAACATTTATTGGTGAGAGCTGTGAATTTTAATATACTATTAATATACAGTATATTTACATATTAACATATCATTAACAATATTAATATACAATGTAATAAGACATATTTCAAAAATGGTTCATAAAAATGCTCTTTGTTAATTTTAGCCTCTTTAAATTGTTTTTCCATAACTAATGATGTTTTTGTAAATGATTTAAATGAATAATTTGTTCTTGAAAAAAAGTATATAGGAACTCCCTTTAGAATTTAACTTTTGATCTTTTAATAGTACTGGTTTCCTTTTCTTTTTTGAGCAGTTACCTTTTATTATTTCAACCTAGCATTCNGGAAGAACACAATAAGCATGAAATTGTGATAAAAATCATATTTAATGCATTTTTTCAGTATGTTAATATTTTTCATAAGACTTAGCATATGATTGACATTGTGCCATGTAGGCTTATTTTATCCTTAGCTACTTTGTAACACTAATTTTCTTTCCTGGATTGAAAACCCCTTTCTTGCCTTTATGGATATACAGAAGGTATGCTTGTAGAAGGAAAAGAATTTGCTTTTTATATGGTTTTTTTACACTTTTTTGTAGGGATTTACCTTCGTGTATAGATGTGTCCAACCGTAAAGAGCTGACTGAAAAGTTAAAGGACCACGGTGGGGGAGGAGAAGTTAAAAAAAGGACCCATAAAGACCTTCCCAATGAACTCCATATGCCTCTAGTCGGCGAATGGGAATTTGAACGTGATGATGATGAATATATTAAGTTTATAGACCTCTTCCTAACTTACGTGCTTGAAAGAGATCCACTCAACCACAGCGAATCGGCTGTTCCTTTTCTGACATGCTTTTCAGCCCTCCTTAAAGAACATGAGCTCCATTCTCTTCTTTTTGATGTTCACACAACCCTGATACGTCGACAGTTCAGAACTGAAGTCCAAAATGCTTTTAGAGCTGGTTCTTGCTACACCCTTGGTTATGGATTTAGTGATTGTAAACTAGCTTCTGTATGGGGTAAAAAGAAAAAAGATGGTGAAAAAGAAACTTTAGCTGCTGAGCAACCCTTAGAGCTTTCAGATTGTGATTCAGTCATGGGACTTACTGAAAGAAGAGGTTTATTTGGGCAAAGCCAGCAATCAGTCAGTGACTCACATGATTCCAATAAGACCTTAACATTCATACCAGCGTTTGCTCAATGTTGGTCTACCCCTAAAACAGCGCTCTTTCAAAAATACATCTGCAAAACTGGACCAGTGAATGACGTCACCCAACAAGATGAACCAGTCCCAGAAATACATCTTAAATTTAACAATATCTCTCGCTTACTTGAATGGATGATCAGATGGTCCGGTAAAAGAATGGTTCAGGATCCCATCACAACAGGGACACTTCAGGAATGCCAACCAATGATGCATGTGAAAATATCATCATCTGCCATTCTTTCATCGTTGTGGATTTTAGAGCGACGTTACGGCAACACATTTCAAGACCAAAATTGCGGTTTGGTAAGCAACTGAAATCACTTTGAGCATGTCTAAAGCTAATCTTTGAGCTTGGCCAAAGTGTCTCAAAGTGCCTACAAACAAAAATCTGCCTATAGAAAGAAAATAGCTCTAAATTGGATATCTCCCAGCTCAGATAAATGCCTGACAGAGCAATAAAAATGCTCAGAGTCATAGTGAATATATGTATAATAAATATACATAAAGTGAATCAATCATTCTTCCATTCTTCTGGGAGTTCTAGGAAAGCAAATAGTGTGTTAATATATGTAAAATAGTGGAGACTTTATTCTTACGTATAATACAGCATGTACGTATATGAATATGAATGTTTGCTTATAAACAAACACTTAAATTCATTTGCATTTATTTTTGAGAAATTGTTTGTAGAATAAGGTTGTTACTATCTATTAGGATTTTGTACACTCATAGTATCTTGTCCGTTGTTATTGTGGTGTGGTTTGTGATGGCGCAGTGGTTAGAATGCAGTATTGCAGGCTAACTCTGCCTACAGCCTGCAGTTCAATTCTGGCAAGCTCAAAACTGACTCAGCCTTCCATCCTTCCGTGGTCAGTAAAATGAGGACCCATATTCTAGGGAGCAATTTGCTGACATTTGTAAATCACTCAGAAAGTGCTATAAAGCACTATGGAGAGGTACAGAAATCTGCTGAGTCACAACAGAAATCTAAATGCTATTGTACTTTAGGCAGTGGTCCCCAACCTCTGGGCTGCCACGCACCAGGCCGGGGCCTATTCGCAACTGGGCAGCATGAGTGGTGGGCAAGTACGTGCAGTTGCAATTGCCCACCACCAATACTAATGAAACTCTGCATGCATACGTCTTCCTCTCACAAAACCTACCCCCCTTTCCCTACCCCTGCCCCTCCACACCGGGCCAGGTTGGAGAAAGCTGTTTTAGTGAATTATACCCTTCTCTTTTCTTCGGCATATAGAGATGCAACTGCTGTAACTTGATAACTGCATGCATTTGAACATATTTGGCTATTTTCCCAACTCAGCAAAGGAAATAAATTATTTTTTTCTCAGTATCATCTCTGAAAATTGGCATAGATAGAACAAACATATTTCATCCTCAGCTTTCCCCACTAAGTAACAGTGCAAATAGTGAGTTTTGAAATAGTTACTTTTGAAAAAGAAAAATATATTAACTTTACATAGGTCCTCTAGGGGGTAGTGCTCATCTTCATTTCAAAGCCGAAGAGCCAGCTCTGTCTGAAGATGTCTCTGGTCATGTGGCCAGCATGACTCAACGCCAGAGGCGCACAGAACACTGTTACTTTCCCACCAAAGTCCCTATTTTTCTACTTACATTTTTACGTGCTTTCAAACTGCTAGGTTTGCAGAAGCGGGGACAAGTAACAGGAGCTCACTCCGTTACGTGGCACTAGGGATTCGAACTGCAGACCTTTCTGATCAACAAGTTCAGCGTCTTAGCCACTGAGCCACTGTGCCACTGTGTTGCTTAACTTTACATAGGGATATCAAAATTCCTATCCCTGTAAGCTTTTAGCATCCATAGAAGGCAATGATTAATGACAAAGTTATGCACTTTATGTCCACATCTTACCTGCATCAGATTAAATTATTGGTGCATTGTGATTGTATAAGAGGTGAAGGTTCATATTAAATATGTCTTGGAGGTATTTGCTTTTTATTCAGGATAATGAGGTGTAAGGAAAATGAATCCAAAGATCTGCTATGCTGCCTAGAACAAGAACTGTCTGTTTCCTTCACTTTATATTTTACAAAGTAAATGTGCATTAATTGGGCTTGAAAAGTATGAAATTTCTATAGCATTTTTATTTTACGATCATGCAATTATATGAAAAATTAAAATTAGTATGAAACAGTGTATGAAAGTTTTGCTTTACCAGATATAATTACTAATTCAAAATATTTGTAGCAATCATTCTGTGTTTTCTTACTGATTAATTAGCACACTGTTAGGGGTGGAGGTCAAGATTTTAGAATGTTAAGTAATGAACCTCCTTGAAGAGCAGTCGCTAAGCAGCATTAAACATTCCATAGCCATGGACATTCTTTGTAATGTAGTACATTTAGAAGGTAGCAGAAACCTACTGAAAAATACTAAGGAATGGTACCTATCTCATGAAACCTTGGCCTATAATTTATTAGGAGAAACATAATTAAAACCAAATGGAGACTTTGGATAACTAATACCCTGTTTTCCTGAAAATAAGACCTCCCTGGATAATAAGCCCAATTGGGCTTTTGAGCGCGTGCGCTGAAATAAGCCCTCCTCGAAAATATTGCAACACAGCAGCAGCCATGAGGTGACTACACTCGCTGCCCCCTGCTCCTCAAAAATAATAAGACCTCCCTGAAAATAAGACCAAGTGCTTATTTCGGGGGTCAAAAGAAAATTTTCGGGGAAATACGGTAGAAGACAATTTTTGTGAAGGGAAAATTTAAAATTTGATATAGAATTTTTCAAAACAATTATATTATCAAATTGTAATTTGTACTAAAGGCTATTTTATAGGATGGCATATTTTCCCACAAGATTTAACATTCTAATCCAAATCCAAAAATATTAGCCTCTGCAGTTGAGGATTTTCTTAGGCAGACAGGTTTCCTAGGATGCAATAGCAGCTATTGAAAGGGTGCACAACAGGATTTTAATGCAAAGCTATGAATACCAATCATTTTTTAAACTTAAAAATTATACGTGGGGTTTGTTGTTTTAGAAACAACAGAAACCGCGGGGAAAAACTTCCACTATCATACCCAAACTGGAGAAAGATGGTGCTGAGAGTACAAATAGTTCTTCATCGGAGGGAGCTCCAGCTGATATCCAAAATGGACAGGCATACAGTGAACCATTTAAAAATATTCCAAGGTAAGAATTCAGCATTCAGTTTGATGTAAGGGCATAAATTACCAAAGGGATAAAAAAACTATGTTGTAGAGCCAAAATCTTATATATATTTTTAAATGTCACTCTTAAAGGTGCGGAACATTACCTGAAAAACGAAATAGGAAGAAAGTAAGTCATGGGGATCATTCTATAATACCTGATATAGAGACTTGGAGTACAGCTATCGATATCAGTCTGGCAGAAAAAGTGGCAAAGTTTCTACGAAATGAAATAGTTGTACCATCTGAAACCGAAGGTTAGTTAAAAAAAATGTTTTCTTCATCCATATGAAGCCATTGATGTAAAATAAAAGAGATTTTTGCATGGAATATGTAGTATTTACTTCCTCTAGTATCACTTTGAAACCTTATGGTTTGTTTTTTTAAGAATTTGTTCTCTCATATTTAATTAGAATCCTTTATTGGCTAACGTGATTGACACAAGGAATTTGCCTCCAGTACATAAGTTCTCAGTTTACATGTAAACAAGAAGTCATGATCATGATCATAAAATACAATCATCATAAATCATAAGAAAGAACAGTGATAATCATAGTGTACTAAATAAGCAATCAGCATAACTATAATAGGATACTAAATAAAAGTTACAGATGTAATTTATATATAGTTAAAGTGAAGCAAAGGGATCAGAGCCACACCCTAGATCCATAAAATCAAGGAAGAGGTAGGACGAAGTAGAGATACCCTTTCACGAATAGAGAGAAGTTATAACAGGAATTTCTCTCTGCCCTCACAGCCCACTTTAAGATAAGAAAAGATCTTTTACTTCACTTTGAGGCCCATATTATTCATAAAATATAATGTTTTGGATAAAGAAGAATATCTGTAGCTCAGGTGTCCTTGGTTCTCTCTGAGCTTGGTTGTTTTCTTGCAGACATTTCATTACCCAAAC